GTCTCTGGGTCCGTTTTCAATGCTTCTGCTGGGATTCCATCTGGTCCTGCTGCTTTTCCAGCTTTTAGCATCTTGATTGCCTTCAGGACTTCTGATTTCGTCTGGGGGTTGGTGTTCACTGGTAGCTCTATCTCCGTTGTTGGTATTGTCGGGCGCGTTGTAGGTGGTGGTCGATTTAGGAGTCTTTTGAAGTGTTCAGTTCAGTGTTTCCTTTGATCCACTTCTTTGGTGAGTGACTTTCCATTGTCATCCTTCACCGGCTTAATTTGTGTCAAACTTTTTCCCGATAGGTACCTAGTTGTTTGGTAGAGTGTTGCGAAGTCTCCTTTGCCCACGACTTGTTCTGCTTCACTTGCCATGGCTTCATAATACTTTCTTTTGTCTTCCCTGGCACTCTTCTTTACTCTTTTGTTCAGTGTCTTGTAGCTTGCATTCAAATCCTGTTTTTGTTGCTCATCGGTGCACTGGAGAATCTTTTGTTTCACCATCCCTCTCTCTTCTATTAGTTTCCAAGTGTCTGTAGTGAGCCACTGTTTGTCCTGTCTCTTCTTTCTGCCTAGAACTTCCATGCAGGTTTGACTCCACACTGTTTCCAAGTTGTTCCAGTGCTTTTCGACGCTGACCTCTTCGCTAGTGTTGATCTGTGTCTCGGCTCTTTCCCATATGCTTGCAGTGAAGATGTCCTTTGTGTCCTGGTCCTTCAGTTTTTGAGTGTTGAACTTGGCTTGTGGTCTATCTGCAGCTCCTGTTCCTCTGAAAGCTTTTAATTTGATTTGGATTGTCCCTTGTACGAGATAGTGGTCTGAGCCAATGTCTGCTCCTCTTCTTACTTTTGTGCCCAGTAGGCTGCGCCTCCACTTCCTTTAGATTGAGATGAAGTCAATTTGGTTTTTAGTTCGCCCATCTGGTGACACCCATGTAGCCTTGTGGATATCCTTGTGTTCGTATACGCTGCCACCAATCACTAGTTCATTGAAGGCGCAGAAGTCGGCGAAGAGTTCTCCGTTTTCATTCATTTCTCCGAGAGCTTCTCTACCCATGATGAGTTCCCTTCCTGTGTTGTCTGATCCCAGTTTGGCGTTCATGTCTCCTATTAGTATTTTAATGTCACCAGCTGGAGTATTGTCCATTGTTGCCTGTAGTTGTCTGTAAAACTCTTCTTTCTTCTCGAGATCTGCGTTGTTTGTGGGTGCATGGCATTGTATAATTGACACTTTCCTTCCTTTGGGGTTGAATCTGGCGGTCATTATCCCGGGCGAGATCGCCTCCCATTGTATCAGGGCCTTCGTTGCCGTTGGTGAAATCATGATAGCCACGCCCTCGGTGTGCGAGTGGTTATCTTCTGAGTGATCGGAGTAGATCACTAACTCACCGGTTGACAATTTGGTGAGTCCATTCCCGTTCCATCTGCTTTCACATATCCCCAGTACTTGAATTCCGTATCTTTTCATTTCGTTTGCGATCTGGGAAGCTTTGCCAATCTCGTACATGGTGCGGACATTCCATGTCTCCACACAGACTTTTTCTTTTGGCGCAAGGAGATTCATAGTGCTGAAGTTTCTGTAGCAGCTTTGTTTACGGAGTGAGGTTGCTAGCCTGACACCTGGGAAGGAGATTTTTACATTAAAATATAGTTTAGAGAGAAGCGACCTTGTGGGGTGCTTCCCTTAAAACGAGGAAAACAAGGAATAAAACAGTCAGAACAACACCAACACAGGAAAATTAACTGACAATAAGAAGGGTGACAAGCGACAACAACAGTAATAATACCACAGTCAAGTACAGTTAACCAAAATGATACCAAAATCATAGACTCACTGACTTGAGCCAACTTGAACATGTAAATCGATCAATATATACAATTGTAGATATTAGTTAGTGTTAAACAATCACAGAGTGTCAAATAGATAGCTATAGGTATTATCGATCAACAATATTATATCCAAAGATTCAGTGTTTGAAAGGCAAATAGGAGTAATAGTTTTTTGCAACCTTTTGGCAAGATATTTCACAAAAATAAGGGTTTTATGTAACTATGTTAATGTAACGTAGTAATCCAAAAGCGCGTCAAGTTAGTGCTGCATCCTTATTGTTAGCTGCATGCATCTTTACTAAATATAACTCTAATTCCCTAAATTTTTTCACCTTAACACACTAGGCTTTAAATAAGCAAAATATTAGTTTATGAACATCAATAATAAACCCTAGGATTGCTACTCACGAAGTAGTATTGGTGCAAAATATGTGTTCATTACATCTGTGAGCACCACTACTCTTCACAATTTTCCTGGAGAAGCAGCTCCCGTAGTTACAACACAATAGTCTTCCGTAAGCACGGAACCTCTCACTGACGAAGTAGTATTTTAATGGTGAGAGGGAGAAACCTATTTATTTACCCTCTCATTTCATTAACCACTTTATTTGAGCCTATGACACTTGGTTATTAGTGGGAAAAAGGCATGGAAACGATTACTAACTTTGCACTCAAACCATTCCCCGACCATTGCACGGTATGCAATAACCACTCAGATGTAATATATTACTGAAGAATTCAGAAGGACAAAACACGCAACCAGGTAAGAATTATATCTTTGTGGCTTGTAAGGCTTTCTTTCGAAAATAAAGGTTCATAAACATCACAGGTCTTCTACAATATTACTAGACCTCAGTCGGTAATTTGAATCATTATTTTGATAAGAAAGCTGGTTTCTGAAGCCTGCTGTCATCTTAGACTGCAGTATAGGTGGAGGAAAGGAAATTATGCACAGAGGTGAACTGCGTGTATTGCATCTGATTGATGTTAGCAGCCAAAATGCCGCGGGTGGCGATTTCCAGACAAATTTAATTGTCCTTTTTCATCAACGATTTACCGAACAACTTTGGCCCTTTCGGATTTCTGTACTCAGATCAGGTGAAATTATGGAGGGCTGAGAGAAACGAGGAAGGATAGAACGATCCGCACGAAAGCCTGATTAATCTGGAGAGCCAGGTCACAGAAAACAGACTACCTCTCAATGTTAGGAGACGTTAGGTGGTATCAGACTGTTCATGAGTAGAAGGAAGAATCTTCTACTCCCTACGTTGAGTGAACCCTTCATATGAAGACAGTACGACCTCGGGCTGTTCTTTACTAAAGAATTAAACTCAAGTGTTAACTACTGGGGCAGTCGGCGCACTTAAACCTTAATCAACATATATGTGCAAACATTAAGGTCCTATTCGCTGCTCGCCTCTTCTCTTCTGTTTGCTTTTTAATGGAAGTTGCACAGATCTACAGTAGGACTGAAGTTGAGCAGGAATCGAAGCAACTTACTTATATATCATCTTTCAAGGTTTTGGCCAGTAATGACTCAGCTTCCTTGAAAAATCCACTGTCGCCATATCAGGACGCTGTACAGCATCCTATACAAGCAGTATCCATGACCTAAAATGGCTTACAAATAGCTTTCTACTTGTTAATCAACTCACTCGTACGGAACAACCATGCAACGACAGATGACAGTTTCGGCTGACATAGGCGCAGTAAAACAAATCTGCCTGACCAATATATGTCTGCATTCAGTACAATTCATTTTTGGGGTTACTTACGATGAAAATGCTGACAAAATTATACAAATAAATCACTAATTTTGAATTAATACCCCATTTCGACATAAATAAAGAACAAGAAACGATGCCGCACATAACAAAGTTATATGGAGGAATTGACTTCAAGCTTTATTTTTTTCCAAAGTATTTGTAATCCATCCAACACACATGGGTTTTTTCTGTTAATGAGCTCGATTGAATGACTAGTTATCAGATTGTACCCACAAACTAATGTCAAAAAGGACAGCAACCATGTAATTTCACCATAAATCAAATTTATGTAGTTTATATATTACTTATCCATACCTGTACGACTGGTGTGTCCTATATATATAGGAATAAATATATTATTATTAAAGCAGTCGTACGAAACATATGCAAAGACAGGTCTACACGTTATTAATTTCAGTGCAAATCTGCAGCTATGCAGAGACGCTAATCCTTTATGGAACCTCTAAACAGCGGTAACTAAAGTCGTCCATGGGCTTAAACGCTGACTGTTTTATGGTCGATTGTGGATGCTGAATCTCCATACTCTTGGCTGCCATACATCTATGAGTAACTCAACAATGGAGTGCATAATTTTATACAACCCATTTCACATGAAGCGAGGTGAAGTGACGTATATGCTCTGAGGTGTTCCTTCCAGTAGCTCTGACACAGTTGCCCAACAATTAGCAGGAAAATGGTGTGGGCGAATTCCTTTTCTCTTGGGGCTTGCCACTCATGGAATTCACAGAAAAATGCTACCAATCTAAGAAAAGCTTAGACCATAAACGGGAGGGAAAGTTATATACATATTCTCAGAGAAGACCGTTTACTCGTAGAGGGTTGCACTACAAATGAAATCCACTTCATCCGCCTAAACATCTCATTACGGTTTTTCAGGTTATCTACAATCCGATCAGTCTCGTTATTGCTTCTTCAGTACAATTTTGTTTTTTGTCGTATGTGAGAATCAGTCGTTGCCTACATATAGTTCTCTTGATCTGCTTTTAATTTACGGTCTTGATGTATTTTCCAGTTCCGTTTCCTGTTCCTCATCACTGGTTTCCCGACGTGTTTGTTGACCTAATTATAGGGTTTCTTGGAGAAAGTTATGGAAACGTGGTAACTGCCCTCACGTAAACAGTACATTCCCTTTTCTTGTTGCTTCAAGCAGACCTTCAGAAGTGAAGTGGATGAACTAAACCGGAATCCTTCAAAAAATTGAAACCATTCGGAAATGATGAAAAGCAGAATTGAATTCATCCGTTTATTCTAGGTCGAATAATGGAAGTAGATGCTAAGGTTATAAACCTCTTGACATTAGTATAAAACAATTAACCGCAAGAATAACCATCCTAAGGCACTGAAAATGAATGTGAAGCAGTATAGCAGTGATACTTTTCTGTCATTCTTGTTTAGTTGCAGCATTTGTGTGTTGCCTTCAATTTCCAGGCGTCGTATGAATTTCAACCTTAACATTCCGGGATAACGGTAAGTGTCTAAAATCTCTTCATTTCTTCGGTACAGCTAGGTGTATGTAGAAATAAAATATCTGAGTCTTTTGACTAGGTTTAAATATAGCACCCACCTTCAATACCTCGACGTGTGAATCTTAAAAATGACACATAATCAACTACCCAAGCTTACAATTCCAAATTAATTCTAACTTACGCGTCCATAATGCCTTTTTAATTTTAAATGAATATTTTACCTGCTTAAAATGAATCCACTGTGTGCCGAAGTAACGATGGTCATTCTTAAAAGAGCAGTGGACGCTTAATTAGTGCGACGAGATCTTAGAAATAGTATTTGCAGCTGGAATAATGCTTTTGGTGCTGAAAGAAAGCTGAAAAATCGCCACTATGCGCTGAATTAAGTCTTTTCGTTCTGAAGTAATGCTAGTCAGTGCTTAATATGTGCTGTGAAGGCTAGAACAACACTGATAAGTAAACCCAGCAGGTTCTGATTTACTCCTGAAAATGCCTAGAAAAAGAACAGGGTGATGAATTAGCGCCAGTTATGTTAAAAGCCAGCACTAAGTTCTAGTCTGTGCGCTTAAACATACCATTTCGGAACAGATTCAGAATTCACTCACTATAGAATGTTAGAGTTAGTTCAGAATCAGCGAGATTTCAATCAGCATTATAGTAAGCATGTAGTTATTTCAGATTTATTGGTTGAGGATAGAAGGCTTGGAGCCTATGTTAATCCTTTTCTAGTAAATTTCTGTGGTTGTCCAAACCCTTCTTGAACGAATCAGTTGAGATTGCAGACACCACTTCTTCTGGGAGTCGGTTCCAAGAGTTTATGACTCGATGTGAGAACCAGTACTCAACAGCAATATGATTTCTCCTTGGCTTTTGAACTCTCCTGCTATGTCCTCTAAGGTGTTCCGACCTGGTGGGAAGGAAAAGAGAGAATAGGTCAGGTCCGTAGTCATTATTTAAAATTTTAAACATTGTGATTAAATCTCCTCTCTGCCTACGGTATGACAGGGAGAAGAGATTTAAACTGTCTAGTCTTTCCTCGTATGATAAGTTAGTCATGTCGTGAACCATACGTGTTGCCTTCCTTTGAACCCTTTCTAGAATGTGTGAGTCCCCTTTTAGACAAGGACTGGCTGGTGGCCTGGATGCAGTTTTCCAGTCTTGACCTCACCAGAGATGTATATAAGGAGGAGAACATATCTCTGGTGAATCTAGTGAAGGCTCTGCGAATTGCCCATAATGACCTGAAACTACGTGCAGCCACATCATTCACTATGAATTCGTGACATTAATGACATGTATGTCCATAGTTTGCTCTCAAGCTGGGTTCCTAGTTTTGTCTAGACATAGTAGTATCATGCATTTGCGTTGACTGACAAGCTATACCGCAGTACTTAACGATAGCGTTCTGTGCTTTTCTCTCATTACTCCCATTAGTTCAGCGCCTACTGGGCTTTTTTAACATTATTTCGGCACTTTGAGTTCCGACTCAGCAGTAAATAACAATATTTTCTCATTGAGTGTTTTTTTACTGGCATCCATCATGGCATTTTCCTGCACTTCAAACAAGTTCAGGACTTACTAACCTCATCGACTAGCATTTTCAAAGCATTCCATAGTTACTAGTGGCATAATTAGAACTTCCTTCAACTTGTACTGCCACACAAAATATCTTAGACCAGTTAACGTCAATTGTGCTCAACTTTATATGCAACACTTATTTGTCATGGTGAAGAGAAACCGCCAAGAGCTTGTGTACGTCATTTAGTATAAGTTAAGTAATCACCCATTCGTTATGAATAATTTATCTAAAAAGTAAAAAGTGTATAACTTTACTGCAGTTCAGTTAAGTGTGGTCCATAAAAAGCATCCTGCGGAAAAGGAAAATTGAAAATTAGTTGAGGAAATCGTACGTTAACAAGATATTCATTACATTCGGGAAGATGAACTTACATAACTGCCACTGTCTGCTTCCGACTTGTTTGTTTGGAGTGCTTGCTTGTTGTTTTCGTACGCCTGTGGTCACTATCTTTCAATTTGTAGAGGTAAATCTTCGTCCATTACCTTTCTTTAGACGGCAATAGTTTGCCCGAAGACTTCAATATTACAGCTATAGAAATAGAACACAGGACTTCGGCAGTAGCTCACCCTTTCACTCAATTCTTTGCAACCCTTTTTAACTAGTTCCACGATTTTCCGCTAGTTTTTTAACTTTCTGTTCACTCGATCTCCTCCATGTCACCCTCGGACCATCTTTCAACTCGTCGTTTCCCATTGGGATTCACCGAAGCGCCTGGTATGTGATGTTACACAATGGTCTTCTTAGCATTTATTCAATCCATCACCATATATTTGTCGTGTGACAGGTTCTTGGTTGGTTCGTTGTCAGAGTTTCTTGTCGCCTGTCATTTCTGGTAATCTGATCGTCATTATCAAGCCGGTGAAAACTGCAGTTGCCTACTGCAAATGATTTCGGTGACGTACCAGACCTCTAGAAGCACTGATGAGGTATTAGTGGTGAAGATCCGGATATTTTTCCTTATTCAAAGTGCAATAGATTCTCACACATTTCAGAGCAATAAATGTCCGTCATGCTTCTCTGATCCTGTCTTTGATATCCTCATCTATGTCACCTGTAGTTAAGACGAAGCTCGGGGATAGTGAAAGTACTCAATATTAATGACATTTAATGATATTAGTATCTTGGAGTCGGGGGGAAGAAGTGTCCCACTGAACTCATCACACCATGTTGCGATCGACTGCAGCTAACTTCACTGGCAGCTACTCCAATTTCATTAGTATTATGGAAAAACACATTTTGCTGGACTTCTGACCATCCCTGAAAAGTATCTTCAAAGTATCGTCATTGCTGTCTAGGTTCTTTTCTCAACCAAAGATTCTCAACATCTCTACAGACCTTCAACGACCTTCCTGGGTATCTAGAAGTGTGACATTCAAAGTTTCTTTTTTCAGTTAAGTTACAGGTATATTAGTCTTAAAATCACCTTACTATGGTTGGTTATTCATGGTCATTTAGAAGATATTTGGTTTTGGCTGCTATAGTTAAACTTCTCCAGTTTTTGATATTATGTGAGGTTATGCATGGTAAAATCTTGCTAACAGCAAAAGAAAAGTACCTTGACTGTGCTACCCAACAACTATACAACTGCTTTGCAATCTCTGACGATACAAATCTCCGTGTCAACTTATATAGTCAACTGTACTACCAGTTGTCCCACTTGTGGAGTTTTTTTCTGCCTAGGAATAGCCACTGAACGAACGATATTTCAAAATATTAAACATTTCCATGGTAAAGTGTATTATTATTATTGTTTCCTTTAATTCCTGGAGGAACATAGGGCTTCAGCCATGCGTCTCCATTGCGTTCGGTTCTCTGCTAGAGTCTTCACCTGGCCCCAAGTCTGACCACACGTTTTCATCTCCTCTTCACATGACCTCCTCCATGTCACCCTCACACTGACGACCAACTCGCCGCTTCCCATCCGGTAGGGTTCCACTCGCCCAATGGCTTGTCTAGTGATGTCATTTGATGACTTGTTTCCTCAGAGTATGGCCAATCCATCTCCATTTCTTCCTGCCTATTTGTTTCACAATCGGTTCCTGCTGAGTTGGTTCGCTCCCAGAGATCTCTATTGCTGATCTCTTCTGGCCATCTGATCTTGAGTATTGAGCGAAGACAGCTGTTAATGAAGGTCTGATGCTCTTTATGACGCGCCAAGTCTCTGATCCGTATAGTAGCACTGACTTCACATTGGAGTTGAAAATCCGGATGTTATTTTTGGTGCTGAGTGCTGTTGACCTCCTCCACACAGACTTGAGAGTAGTGAAAGCTTGTCTTGCTTTTCCGATTCTTTCTTTGATATCCTCGTCAGTTCCGTTCGCCTGTAGTTGAAACGATGCTTCCCAGGTAGGTAAAAGAGGTAAAGTGTAGAACAACACATTTAAGCGAACAATATTTTTTTGCAATTATATCTCATCAGGCTTAACTCTAATATATACATAAATTTACAAATAAATATTAAAATTTAAACCAATCACGTTATTTTGTCAATAGGATAATAAGATAGTCATAATAATAATGATTCTATCAATACCAAGGATGAAAAAGTGAGGCGATCTGTGATAACAAGAATGACGAAAAAAAAACAGTATGATTAAACAAAAACATGTTCAGGTAGAAGCAGTCGATAATTATCATTGCACAATTTGCATACACAGTCTTATTATCCTATTGACAAAACACCGTGATTGGTTTATATTTTAACATTTATTTGTAAAGTTATGTATATCAGAGTTAAGCTCTATGGCATCCAATTGAAAACACAATATTGTTCGTTTAAATGTGTCGTTCTAAACAATATTTCTTTAAGACTTTGCCACGTGAATCAGCCCTTAATTTGCCTATTGAATTGTCGATTAAGAGTTATCCAATAGCTTTTGAAGTTGTAGACTTAAAAGTAAGGCATTATTGTCTGGCAATAATTTAACTTAATATTATCATGACCTGGAAAATTTTAATCCAGCTTTTTTCGTCCTTTCATCTGTAGTTTTGAATCATTGAGGAGTTGTGTTGGCTTTTCTTCGTGTTGAAGGGAAATAGTCTTTTATCTTATTGTTTGTGTTTATAATTTTATTTATTTAAAACACAGAACCTGGTACAACATAGACACCAAAGAGACGTCAACGCTTCTGCCATATACAAATGCCGAAGCCTGACGCTATTTGTACCATTTGGCCTCACCTTGTAGATAATCTTGAAAGACGACTCTGGTGGAGCTACATGGCTTGAGTTCACCAAGTGCTCGAGAATTGAGCTAGTAACTATCTTGTTTTGTCCTTTTGCTAACCATGCCGGATAATGTTCAGAGATGTGTTTGGAAAGTGTGCGCTTTGTGCGGCCAATATAACTAGCTCCATAAGAGCAGGTGAATTTATAAACACACATTGAAATGGCCCAAAGCGGCAGTTTATCCTTCACACATCCACTGATCATTTATCGGCTGTAGAAGTTGGTCCGTAGGTCAGCTGCAAAGAAGGCTTTTCTCAGTGATCTGGGTAAGCAGCGGTTCTTCAGGATTTCAGCTGCGGTATCACCTTTAAATTCAACATTCATAAATAGCAGTTTCTTCGGCACCGTCTGGGTTCTTTTGGGCTTTTGCTTTACCTTGATGTTTTCTCGATGAATCTTGGAGGATATCCATTTTCCATGAGGACTCGTCTGAGTATCTCGAGTTCACCATCGATTGTATCACTGGTGCATATCCTTCTCATTCTTGAGGATAAGGAGTGGATCAGATTTCTCTTTCTTCTCAAAGGGACCCAACTATGAAAATTCGTGTATTGACCATTCCATGTTGGTTTCGTGTAGATCGATCTTTGAAGAGAACCGTTAGATCTCCTTTTTAGGAAAACATCCAAAAACAGATGGAATTTCGAGTTCATCTCTGGTCCTGACGTGAACTGGATGGCATGGTGGCAGTTGTTGAATTCCTTACTTATCATATCGATGTTAGTGTTGTCGTCAGATATGATGAAAGTATTATCCATGTATCTTTGGTATATATGGAAACTATCGATAGTGGGTCGTAACATACTATTCTCTAGACTTGACAAGATGTGTGTTTGTACAGCAAAAGACACATCAGAATATGAGAATATTTCAGGTGTGTGACGGAGTGTAGCAGTGTATGAAATCTTCGGTCTCATCAGACATGTTGGAAAAAACATCAAAACATGAATAGTTCTACTGACTAATATATTCTGTTATTTTTATTGTTATCACCTTGAGGAGCAGCAATCTTCGAATGTTTGGCATGCGATTCACGCGCTCCTGTCAAATGTAAGATGATGCTACAGAACTGGACCACATCGACTCACTCTTTAAGATAGGGAGGCGGTGAAGTGGTAGAGCGTGTTGACCACTTCACTTATTTAGGAAGTTGCATCATCCCCAACGGGTTGATCGCTGACAAAATCTCCTCAGGGATACAGAAAGCTCGTTTGGCATATGCCAAATCACTCTATCTCTGACTTAGTAGACGTGATATCCGGCTTGCTGTCGACCAAAAGGCGTGTGTACCTGTCAGCAGTCACTTCGCCCTGTCCTCCTTTATGACTGTGAGTGATACATGGCCACTGAAAGTGGAAGACATGTAAAGGGTGACGACTAGCTGTCTTTGATCATAGGTGCCTACGTTCTATCTCCCGTGTGCGCTAGTTGGTGGTATAATAGGGTGAGTAATATTGAGGTTAGGCATCGGTCGAATGTTAGGTAAAGAGGAAGAAAATCACTCGACGGTGTTGTTGGCTGAATTTAAATCGATTGAGATGGTTCGTGGACATTTACTCATGCATGCCTAGCCATCGATCGCCTTCCTCGACAACGGGCAATGTTAGCTGACTGATATAGGATGGATGAGGCTGGAAAAGAGCTAGCACATGGTGGTCAAACTAAAACATGGCTTCATCAGTCAATGGAATTCACAACAATTAGTTTGAACCAGCCAAGTATGGAGGTGTAGACTGGCGTCTGAGTTGGAGTCCTTGAGATGATAAGAATCAATGGAGGCTGGAAACAATTGCTGATAAGACTCAAAATCGTTGTCAATGGCTGGCGCAAATGTATTCACTCTTTGTGATTTGTCAGTCATATCGAATAAAATTCTGTTCTTTTTGCCTCATATTTCTGTTTATTATCTCTCTTTACTCTCTTCTCTTGCCTTGTGTGCTACATGGAGGGAGAGAGAGACTGGGGACTCGAACTGCTGCACATCTGTGCAAAGTTCTATTTTGAAACCAGTCAGTCTCTATTGTTATCATGACACAAACTTGGTACATTATGCACACTAAGAGAGGCGTCACCCAAAAACTGAAAGTTTCCTAGAAGGCTCGGGATACTGCCTCGGCACTGATTGAAGCAAGTGGTTGTCTTAAGGGACCACTCCTCGTGAGCCTTTGACTTGAAGTCTGATCCACAAGGCAGTGGACCAGTCCCAGGTGCCGCGTTCCAATGGTGTCCGGTGACCGAACCAAGTCCGTACACTGTTCGCACCGTTAGGATTCTTGTATGCATCTACATAAATTGGTTTGGGAATCTGGATTCTCCAGCCTCCCGTCTTAGGTAGACCAGTACCGTCATAAGCCACAGACGTCGTGCTGTAGAAAGCATTGTAACAACATTAAGACGAGAAAAAAGTAAGACTAATTAGTTCCAAACTCATAGTATATAATCAGATAGTTTGCTTTACTTTTGTGCTAAGTATATAAATCTTGGGTAAACGTGCAAATCGTTTTACATTCTGCGGCGAGTTGTCATCTGAAGTGGTGTCCGTCAGGGATGCCCTCGCACTGACGACTAACTCGCCGCTTCCGATTTGGGTTCTACTCGAGTGATGGCCTGGCGTGTGATGTCACTTGATGGTTTTCTCAGAGTATGGCCTCCAATCTACCTCCATTTCTTCCTGCATATTTGTTGCACAGTCGGTTCCTGATTGGTTCGCTCATTGCCAGAGATCCCTGTTGCTGATCTTTTCTGGCCGGCCATCTGATCTTGAGTAGTATTGAGCGAAGACAGCTGTTGATGAAAGTCTGTAGTTTGTTCGAAGTGCCCTTCGTGACGCGGCGCCAAGTCTCTGATCCGTATAGTTAGCACTGACTTCACATTGGAGTGGAAAATCTGGATCTTATTTTGCATGCTGAGTACTGAGTGTTGATCTCCACACAAACTTGAGAGTAATGAAAGCTTGCCTTGCTTTCCCGATCCTCGCTTTGATATCTTCGTCAGTTCTGTCCACCTGTAGTTGAAACAATGCTTCCCAGGTAGGTAAAGGAGGTTGTTTCTTTCAGGTTCCTCCCATTTATGCTGATTGTTGTCTGTTGCTGTTGGTGGTGTTGCTCAGGAATCTTCATCACCTGTGTTTTCTCTATGTTCACCTGAAGTCCTATCTTTGATGCTTCTTCTATGGCGAACTTGTTGCTTTTCACTTGCATATCTTCCACTTTGTGGGAAATCAGACATATATCATCATGTGCGAAGTCCAGATCCTCCAAGTTTTTTTTTGTGTGGGTCCATTTTATGTCTGTTTCCTCGTTGCCTGCTGTCTGTCTGTCGCATTATCCAGTCTAGTATAATCAGAAAAATCATTGGAGATAGCAAGCAGCCTTCATTGTCTTACTCCCGTCTTCACTTCGAAGGATTCCGTGAGTTTCCCGTTGTGGAATACTTGGCATGTAGTTTTATCGTACAACTGTTGGACGAGATCTATGACTGTTGGTGGCACCCCGTAGTAGCGAAGTAGTTTCCAAATCACGGGATTTCATCATGAGCTGACATCGGTCAGAGAACCATTGGAAAATCTTGGAGTACTAAACAGCTGTTTCGTTCTAGCTTGTAACTTTTCGTCAGCACACACTCGTCGGGGTTCAAACTCCATGGCCTTCCGGTTGCAAAGCTAGAAAACTCGTAAACCATTAATCCACTGGAACCCGATCCAGTGCCTAGCCCATGAATTCCAACTTCTACGAATTCACGATACAGCGTTACCACTAGCCAATGTCATTTGCGGCGAATATTTGTCCTCACACCCGACCTGCTGTACCCTACTGGTCACGAATTTTCACTAGAACCTAGGTAACTGATATAAGTATAAAACTTGGGCACTCTGGTAAAGTATAACTTCATTTTGATAGATCACACAGTGTTGTACAGTAATATTAACTGATGACCACGTTTCGAGCACAAATTATTATGAGCAAGTAAGACACATACATGCTTCTGCCTGCGTGCCCGGGCAGTATCGCAGCCGATGCTTGTGGCGTTTCTCTTTGTGCCCATACTGTACCCAGTTTATTTTAATAAATTGATGACAGTTGTCCATAGTATTCAATTTGAAACATAGACTAATCCCTTATGATTATTTTTCTTTCGTCTCCTTGGTGAAATGCTCACACCGGCAGTTTTAAGACCAATCAAAGAAAGCGCGCAAATACATTTCACAATTCAAGGACATTTTTGAATGATTCAAACAATTAATTGTTAGAGAAAATAATGAAACATTTATGTTCACTAGTAATTCAGACAGTTCCCAATAATTTATTAATCAGACTGCCTCCCAATTTTTCGTATAAACAGAATCGATCTGTTTCCCAATCGTTTTTTTTCTTTTCTAATACCCAGGTTTAATTTTTATGTTGTACAGTATACTGAAGAGGATTCAATGTATAAATAAATGCTCAGCGTATTAAGAGATCGAAAATTTCAGCAAAGAATAGATCAAATAGCTGAAAAGGTTAGTATCGATAAATGATTTAATATGTGAAATTAATTTACCCCGCTATTTCTTTCTTTGCAGTACAGCCATGAATTTAGTCACTGTGATATAGTTGTTTTATCAGATTTTTCAATTGTTGAGAAAGGAGGTATGTAAATATTGGTTTTATTGATTTACTTAAAAATTCCCATTTACATATTGTGCAAAGAAAATATGTTCCTTTTCTTTTTATCAGTTAGTGCCATTTCGTTGGTCTTACGCCAGCCAGCCAGCCACATACCGGGGTCCCGGTTCGACTCCCGGCCAACACACACACGCACATACACCTAACCTTCGCTGTGCACGTGGGGCTACTAACTCCACTCCACAAAATACAACACCATGAAACACGACAACCTAATGGAACTCGGAGATCATATATTTAGAGTGGATGCATCTGCACCACTGAGAACAACTCCAAGCCCCATAACTTCATGTGTTCATAGTGTGGTGAGAGCTGGCTGCTAGCCAAAGTTGGTAGACAGTAATTGACGTCAATGTTTATGTCCCTAATATTGGTGGTGAGAAAATGAGAACAAAGGCTTTGCGTAGGCGGATACAGTTAGCATATGGATGATCTGACACAGCCAGCCACAAAGAGATGCAAGGTTAACTTTCTGTGAGAAACAACGAATCAAAAGGCTGTATTTTATACTAACAATAATCTACAACAATGTACATTAAAATCTATAAATATGTGTTGATTTTCCTTAATAAACGATCTGTTGACTGGCCCTTGTCTTCTGTTGTTACAATAGTATCCTGATTATCCCCAAGTGGACAGTCTACACCTTCCTATGTGGATGGGTCAAACCAACAGTCAAGCACTTCATGGATTGATGTCAGGTTTTTTTTTTGGTTAAACCACTCGCCTCATAACCTCATCGATTAACTGACCCTCCTCAGTTAACGCTCCACGCCTAACATCAATATTACTCAACACATTATACTACTTAACACGGAAGACAAAACAAAAATATCTGTTACAGGATTTCATCATGAGCTGACATTAGTTAGAGAACCATTGGAAAACCTTGGAGTACTGGACAGCTGTTTCGTCCTAGTCTGGGACTCTTCATCAGTACGCACCCACCGACAGGGTTCGAACCCAGGATCTTCTGGTTACAAGGCGAGACCAGTAGGGTGCAGCAGGTCAGGTGTGAGGACAAATACTCGACGAAGACATTGGCTAGCGGTTGCGCTATATCGTGAATTGGCAGAAGTTAGAATTCATGGGCCATTGGATCGGGTCCCAGTGGCCTTATGGCATACGAGCTCGCCTTTGTAACCAGAAGGTCCTGGGTTCGAACCCTGTCGGTGGGTGCGTACTCTGAAAAGTCCCAAACTAGGCGACGAAACAGCTGTCCAGTACTCCTCTCAGGTTTTCCAATGGTTCTCTAACCAATGTTAGTTCACAATGAAATCCTGTAACCAATCAACCAAATCCCTACAAACCAATACTTGAATGAAAATATCCGAATTCAAGACGCTATGAACCAATGAAGATATGGCTTGAAGTCGTTCTGAATGGTGCAGATGCATCTACTCTATACATGATCTCCGAGTTCCATTAGGTTGTCATGTTTCATGGTGTTGTATTTTACGGATTGGAGTTAGTTGCCCCATGCGCAACTTTTCTTTTTTTCATCTTCTTAGCTGACTACATGGTAGGCGAAGTTTAGGTGTATGTGTTGACCGGGAGTCGAACCGGGACCCCGGTATATGGCTGGCTAGCGACGATCCTCCCATTAAACTAAAGGGTCTAATTGAGTAGGAATATGTTTCTCCCCCCCCCCCACCAATTTATTGATTCCTCATTATGTTTTATTATGTTTCTTCTTTGTTAATTTTTATCTTTTCTCTCTCTCTCTGTTTTTCTTCCTCTTCTACTGAAGATTTCTTGTCATTATTACCAGACGATACAGAGTTGGATGATTTGATTGTGGATCAGGAGGTGAATATCGATGATGTGAATGACGAGGACAGTGATATTGAAAGTGTTATCTTATCGTCTGTTCATATGAAAATCGGCAACGGCAACAACAGTAACAACAAAAAGGAAAATAATAATAATACTAATAATTGTAATAATACCGATATTGATACGGATACAAGTAATTCTTGTGTGTAGATAAATTTCTTATAATGCATACAAATATAGCTTCTTCTCTACACGAGAACATTGTACATGGGATTAATGAAGAAAGTGAAGATGAAGACAAAACTGTAGAAGAGGAGGGTGAGGAAGACAACAGCACAACAAGTGATGTTGAAATTCCAATGAACCGCGGATACCACCATGACTACCGTTACTATAGCAACCATGATGATGAAAAAGTATGATGAGCATTTTAAGTATTTATTATGTAATCAAAACATTTTATTTTGTAGAATTCAAACGGTATAAAAGCAGCTTTATCATGTAAGAGATCATTTGAGCTTTTTTGTTGAAAATTATCATCTATAGTGTTGGAAAAATCAGTATCATCATGGGAGAAACGAAGAAATCGTTCAATGGATGCGTCGACTACATTTACTAGTAGTGATAGTAGAAAATATTCCCTTACAAGTAAGTAGTTGTAGAAGGAGGAAGAGGGGATGTATTATCAATAATTATTGTTTTAAAAAGACAATTGCAGCGAAGAAAATTTTCTTTTCGACGAAGTCATCATCTAGGCTATACATTCGTGTATTTATATCAAATGGATGGGAAAGTTCCAGAATAATTTCCGGTTAAGGGTCAAATTAATAAAAAATTACAATTAGGAATTAAAATGCCATAATAAACAGGGGGACGGATAAAACTCGAACAAAGTAGCATTATAATAACTAAGAAGATTGACATTGTGCAATTGGGGGTTAGAAATGTAGAAATAACAAAATATACAGGATGTTTGGGTAAAAAACTAATATGATGAATAATTGTTTATGCAATCAGGGATTAAATATGTAGAAATAGTAAAATGACAAAATAAACAGGAAGAGTGGGTATGAAAATATGGTAGTGTAAACAGGGATTAAGAAAACTTAAAATAACATGAATAAACAGGAAGTTTAGATAAGAAAGGCGTAATTGTAATTTTTTATTAATTTGACCCTTAACCGGAAATTATTCTGGAACTTTCCCATCCATTTGATATAAATACACGAATGTACAGCCTAGATGGTGACTTCGTCGAAAAGAAAATTTTCTTCGCTGCAATTGTCTTTTTAATTATTGTTTTATTCCTTTGCTTTCCGAGTGGATTCCACGCTTGAACTTATTAGCTTCAGTAACATTGATGTATGTTTTTTTTATGAGGTGAAACTGCTAGCCTTATATGCCCGATCCTCCTTCTTCACGGGTTTTACTATCTGTGTTTTTAGGAGTGTGTCGGCCGGGAGTTAAACCTTGGATCACATGTGTTGTGTGGTTGACGAGCATATCCTGCAACGAAAACAACTGACGCATTATCAGATAATTTTTTTTCCTTCACGTTCCCCAGTGGAACATAGGGCTTCAAGCTAGAGGCTTGAAGTTTCTTCAGCAGTGTTTATTTTACAGGATGGGGTTGCTAGCCACCTCATGCCCAACCTTTCCTCTTCACCAGCATTATTTCTAGCTTAGCGAGGTAAAGGAGTGCGTCGGTGGCCGGGGATCGAACCCCGGACCATGTGCATGGTTGGCGAGCGTCCTAACCGCTATATCACCGACGCATTATCAGATAATTAGAGCAATAAAAATTATATTAATATTCCCTTGGGTTCCGTGTGGAACATGCGGCTTCAACAACACATCTCCATTTTGCTCTGTTTTCTGCTGTCCTTTTCGTCTGGGTAGCTCCACGATTGTGCATAATCTCTCATCTCCTCCTCCCCAACCAACACACGATCTCTTCCATGTCACCCTCGCACTGATGACCCACTCGCCACTTTCCATTGGGACTCCACTTGAGCAATGACCTACATTGAGCGCGATGTTATTTGACGTCCTCCTCAACATATACCCGATCCGTCTCCTTTTTTCCCTACATATTTGTTGAGCAATCAGCTGTCGCATGTTGATTTTGTTTCCATCCTGATTTTTTTATTACTTATTCTTGATGGTATTTGTTCTTCAGTATGGAGCCAGCTAGCAAAGTTGGTGGCTATTCATAAAAGTTTGTAACTGGCTGTTGTAAATCCTTTTCGTGACTCACGTGCAGTGCAAGCTTCTAACCAGTATAGAAGAACTGACTGACTGACTTCACATTTGTGTTGAATAGAATCCGAATCTTGTTGTTTATGCTGGCTGAGTCGGGGTGCAGAATATTTCCAAACTGGTTTCAGGTTGGTGAAGACGTATCTTGCCCTTCCGATTCTGGCTGGCTGGCTGGTTTGGACATCTTCACCCCTTCCGCCTCTCTGTGGTTGAAACAATGCTTCCTAGATAAGTGGAATCAAGAAGCAATCTCTTTCAAATCTGTCCCGTTGATGGTGGTTGGTACTGGATGTTGTCGCTGTTGGTTGGTCAGTTGGTTATCTTCATCACCTCTGTCTTCCCCAAATTCACTTGGATTCCTGTCTTCGTTGCTTCTTCTACCAGTTTGTTGGTTTTTGAGTAGTACAACAGTACGCACCCATCGGGGATGCTACTCAGGACCTTCTGGTTACGAGATGAGGGTGTTGATCACTCAGTCTCTTGAACAGAATCTAATGGTCTATGAATTCTAACTTCTGCCAACTCACGAAGTATAAAGCGAACGTCAGCCTACGTCATTGGCGAGTATTTGTCCTCACAATCGAGATCAATTGAATCCCTGCAAACCGATACTTGAAATTTACATTACTGCTGATTATCACCAATGATATTCCTTATTGTGGTGGATTGGATTATACGACAGACTGTGGGGGGGGGGCGAGAAGATAGGAATACATTGGACTGATAAAAAAACTGTAGAAGGTCTGGACTCGCGGACGATATATGTCTAATGTCACACAATCTTCCCGACCGATATATGCTACTTTGGTTGAGGGGGGGGGTCGGGCTTGCATATCGCAATGACCCAACAAGCTAAACTGGCTGGAACTATTGTTTCTGCAGGTCCTACCATGCCAGGAAGGTTGTTAGGATGGCGATTAGACTAAAAGCAGTCACCGACATAGTTCATGATTTTTTGTTTTTTACAATATGCTGGGGATCTGTGGACGAGGTTGTACTGCTGGGAAACAGGGATGTAACAGCAGTGAAGTGTTTCCCTCAGATGACCAGCGTGCCAATCAGCTGTCTCTCCACTCTGGAAAGAGGGGGTTAGAAAAGGTCGACCCCAAAAATTGTACATCCCGACTAACCCTACGATGGTCCGTAACCGGCGGTAAGTTTACTAATACAGAACCAATCCAAGAAACCAGTTAATGCAGGCCGTGTGTGACCGGCCTCAAGCAGTCGTCCCTTGGACTCTGTGGTCACGCAACACTAACCCTCTTTCTGTCTCAGGTACCCGAAAAATCAATCAACTTCCACCCACACACTTCCAAAAGCACACTAAGCCCTCATTGAGCATTATTCTCCTTTATCCACACGACAAACACGCTCGAAGACTTACAGGCGAAAACCAACAAGCTGCCAGACGAAACAGAAAAGACAAGACTTCAAGTCAACGCAGAGAAGAGACGGAGGTGATGAAAGTAACCTACCAACAACACCAATCGTTATTAACGGGAGAATTATGAAAGAGGTTAATTTCTTCACTTATCTAGAAAGCATCGTTCAAACTACAGGCAGAAAGGATGAGAAAGGCTGACCTTCATCACTTTGAAATCAGTTTGGAGATCTTCTACACTCTGCATTAAGAACAAAACTCGGAATTCCAGCATCAATGTTAAATCAGTCTGTTTCCTAAATGGGTCAGTAACTTGGCGCTAGCGTCATGAAAAGCATTCTAAGTAGGCTTCCGTAGACTGTTATAAACAGCTGCCCACTTCACTTTTCATATTGAAGATCAGATGACCAGTCAGAAAGGATTAGCAACAAGAAACTCTGGGAAGGAACCAACCAACAACCTACTGCTCAATAAACATGCAGAAGAAAATGGCGATGAATGGGACACACGCTGAGGGAGACGGTTGAATGACATCGCGTGTTAGCCAGACCATCGCTTGAGTGGAACCCGAATGGGACGACGACGAGTTTGGTGTGGGTCCGGGACTGACATGGTGGAGTAGATCGTGTGTGTTGGGGAGGAGGAGATGAGTGATTATGGGCAATGGTAGGGCCACCAGCTAAGGAGGACAGCAGAGAATAGTATGAAGGGGAGATGTGCTGTCAATTTCCAGTATTGGTGTCAAACATCTTCAAATTCTTGGTGAAATAAATCAGCATTGTCAAGTGTTTGTCTGTACGGAGTCCACCTTTCAGTTGATCGCCTGCATTAAATACTGAGAATTGGCATAATTTAGAATTCACGGTCTATACGAGCTTACACTGTAACCGGAAGGTCCTGGGTTCGAACCCCAGTGGGTACGTCTTACTAAAAAGTTCCCTAACCGGAGGAGTATCCAGTACTCCCTAGTGGTTTTCAATGATTTTCAAAATTGTTGTCAGTTTATAATAATCAATACGATTTTTGCAAAGTATCACTTGAATTAATATAGAATTAGCGGAATTATGCTCCTATCCATCCCAAGCAAAATACTAAGCCTCATCATCCTGGAGAGAATCAAACATGCCCTGGATGAAAAACTTCGACCGGAACACGCTGGATTCAGGAGGAACAAACCATGCATTGATCAGATCGTCACATTACGGATCATCATTGGACAAAGCCTGGAATGGCAGTCACCTCTCTATCTCAACTTCATCGAATTTGAAAAGGCCTTCGACGGCGTCGATTGAGAGGTGATTTGGTAACTACTTCGCTACTACGGGGTGCCACCGACAATTATACATTTCATCCAACGGTTGTACGACAATGCTGCATGCCAAGTAATCCACAACAGGAAACTTATGGAATCCTTCGAAGTGAAGACAGGAGTAAGACAAGGCTGGCTGGTTGCCTACTATCTCCAATGATTTTCCTGATTGTGGTAGATTGGATAATGCGACATACAGACAGCCGGCCCTGCAACGAGGGAACAGACATAAAATGGACTCACACAAAAAACTTGGAGGATCTGGACTTCGCCCATGATGATATATGTCTGATTTCCCACAAACTGGAAGATATGCAAGTGAAAAGTAACAAGTTGGTGATAGAAGAAGCATCAAAGATAGGACTTCAGGTGAACATAGAGAAAACAGAGGTGATGAAGATTCACGGGCAACACCACCCACAGCAACAACAACAACAGACAACAATCAGCATAAATGGGAGGAACCTGAAAGAAACAACCTCTTTTACCTACCTGGGAAGCATCGTTTCAACTACAGGTGGATGGAACTGACGAGGATATCAAAGCAAGGATCGGGAAAGCAAGACAAGCTTTCACTACTCTCAAGTCTGTGTGGAGGTCAACAGCACTCAGCATCAAAAATAAGATCCGGATTTTCAACTCCAATGTGAAGCCAGTGCTACTATACGGATCAGAGACTTGCACTGAGCGTCATAAAGAGCATCTCAAACAAACTACAGATCTTCATCAACAGTTGTCTTCGCTCAATACTCAAGATCAGATGGCTGGCCAGAAAAGATCAGCAACAGGGATCTCTGGGAGCGAACCAACCCAACAGGAACCGATTGTGAAACAAATAAGCAGGAAGAAATGGAGATGGATTGGCTGGCCATACTCTGAGGAAACCATCAAGTGACATCACTAGACAAGCCATTGCTCGAGTGGAACCCGAAAGGGAAGCGGCGAGTTGGTCGTCAGTGCAAGGGTGACATGGAGTGGAGGAGGTCATGTGAAGAGGAGATGAAAGCATGTGGGCAGACTTGGAGCCAGGTGAAAACGTTGGCAGAGAACCGAACGCAATGGAGACGCACGGCTGCTGAAGCCTTATGTTCCTCTAGGAATTAAAGGAAACAATAATAATAATAATAATAAGGGGAATACGGAAACCAAATAGAACGAAATTCATGTTTGTTTGTTGGTTTGTTTTTTATTCCCTTACGTTCCCAGTGGAACATAGGGGGCTTCAAGCTAAAGGCTTGAAGTTTCGGTAGCAGTGGTGTTTTATTTTTACGGGATGAGGTTGCTAGCCTCACTTGGCCCAATATTCCCTCTCTACCAGTCTTATTATTTCTGGCATTAGCGAGGTAAAGGAGTCCGGCGTCGTCAGCCTAGGAATCGAATCCCGGACCACATGAGTGAGAGTGGTCGGTGAGCATTCTATCACTGTGCCACCGACGCACGAAATTCATGTTGACTTTTTGTTCAGTTTTATTTTCGCTTCACGCACTCTCCGAGCCTACCACAGTCAAGACTGCAGATAAGTGTGTAACCTCTTATTTCTTATCGAATTCCATATCTCTTTTGTGTAAATGCAATTCTGTTCCAGTCACACTTGCCATCTCAAGTCTTTTAACCTTGATTCCGTTCGTTAGTACTTGCATGTTAGGCAGAGTACGATTAAGGTCATAAGCGGTGAAGAAGTTTGGTAAGAGTGGTTATTTTAGGTCTAAGTTAAGCCAAGCCAAACAAATCACAGTAAGAAAAAAGCCAATCTACTTTGAGCTTGATTATAAAGGCGAAAACATTGCAGCGATGATCAACAGAAGGCTGAGTACATCACTAGCCATAGCCTATCCTGCAGCTAAGCTCGTTCCCGTCTTTCGAACAACTTGCTCTCTGGTGCAATCAAAAATCGATAGATATCCTTCTCATGTTAACAACTCCAACTGTATATACAAATTTACATGTATCTGCGGGAGCAGTTACATTGGAAGAACAGAAAGAAGAGCATATCTACGATTTTCTGAACATGTACCAAAAAGCTTACGTCTAAAGGGAACAAATGCTTTGAGCAGTGCCATCGCCAGGCATCTTCTTGACACGGGTCATGAGGTGGACGTGGAAAAGTCATTCAAAATTATCAATAAGCAAAAGAGTTCAATGCTCCTTAAGTTTGCTGAAGCCTTTTCCATCAAGCGCCTAAAACCTGATTTGTGCGTTCAGAAAGAAGCAGTTATCAGTCTTTCTTTGCCCTGTCTGGTAACTGGATATTTTTCATCCTAATGCGAGATGCTGAAAAGTTTTCATTGTGTATGATTATTATTGCTCGGAATTGTGTTCAATATTGCATATATATATATATATTATTAGTGTATGCGTATATTGATCGATTGATTTTTGTTTAAAATGAACTCTGTGCAAGTATGTTAAAATTGTTTTTGTAGATACATTTAATAATGTCTTTGCCCTGTAAGCAGCTGACGAGAAGGCAACGAAATAAACAATGATTGTACCATTTTATTCTGCTAAAACTGTAGTTCTTGCTTTGTTCAAATTCATTAAGGGGAACAAATGTATGAAATTTCGCTTCTTTGTTGTTGTTTTGTTTTCTTTTCTACAGATTATAGCGAAGATACAAATTCACGAAATACACTTTTACAAATTAAATCTAAGATGAATAATCGCCGTTATCGTCGTCATCACCGTAACTATAATAATCATAGTTATCCTTATACGAAGCGGCTACACATGAGACGACAACAATCTCCTGTTCTATCAGTATCTTCAACTTCTAAAGAACGTGTTATACAATGGTTAATAGATCAACAATTATATCTATCACAATTGATACATTGAAGTGTATGTCCATTTTGTTTATCTGTTATATTATTGTTTTACACTATTTAAAATGTTAAATCTATCTTTTTTTTATTCGAATGTAAAACTAAACAATACTAACAGTGGGGATTTTTTTGCATTTCTTATGCATTTATTATTATTATTATTATTATTGTGAATAATCCTTTGTTTGTTATTATTTCCACCTACTTCTGTTTCTGCATTAATCCCTTTTTTGGCAGTGATGTAATGTTAATATTATTGGTTCGTATGATTATTATTATTATTATTATTATTATTATTCTGTTCTCTGACATCAAATTCAGCGGGATCCACAAGTGCCTACAAGACTTTATTTCCCCTTTATTCCTTTACGTTCCCCCCGTGGAACATAAGGGGGGGGGGGCTTCAACCTACAGGCTTGAAGTTTCGGTAGCAGTGGTGTTTGTTTATTTTTACGCGATGGGGTTGCTGCTCGCCTCATGCTCCCTCCCCCTCGTCAACCTTCCCTCTGTCTGCCTGGCTTATTACTGGCCTAGTGAGGTGTAAAGGATTGCGTCGGTGGCCATCGGTGATCGAACCCTGAACCACGTGTGGCTTGGTTGGCGAGCGTTTTACCTCTGTCCCACCGACTGTCTGTCTGTCTGGATTCAACATAGAACTTGGCACCGAAGTGCACCAGTTCGAGTTGCCACGTTCCAAATAGCACACAAAGGTAGACAAGAAAATGAGCGATGAAGAGAATCAATAGAGTTTTGACAAGTATAAGAGTGAAACAGAATGAGTAATGGTAGAAAGGAATATGAGACTGAAGATTACAGAGACTGAATACATCTGCGTAAGCCATTGACAACGATTTTGAGCCATGTCACCTATTGTCTCCAGCCATTGATTCTTAGAGTCCCGAGGGCGGGCCCCAACCCGGAAGTCTGCATCTCCCTACCTGACTCAGTTTAACTGTCAAGGATTTCATGGATTGATGAGGCCATGTTTTTGTTTGGCCACCACTTACTCTTTTCCAACCTGCATCTAAATCAGCTAGTAATGCCCGTCCAGGTGGGGGAGGCGATGGTTAGGCATGCGCAGCACGTGACCTAGCCATCTCAATCTATGTAACTTTATAGCCTCGTCGATTGATTTTCCCTCTTTGCCCAACACTACGCCTAACGTTAACATTACTTACCTTATTATACCACCTAACGTGAGAAAGAGATCGTAGACATCTATGATTAAAAACAGTCAACCTTTTCATGTCTTCAACTCGTATTGGCCATGTTTCAGAGCCATAGAGAAGGACGGAGCGAACTGCTGAGTGGTACACACGTTCCTTGGTTGATAGTCGGATGTCACGCCTACGCCAGAGATGGTGTAAGTTAGCGAAAGCAGCTCGAGCTTTTTGGATCCGTGCTGAGATTTCGTCACCAATCAGTCCATTGGTGCTGATACAACTTCCCAAATAGGTGAAGTGGTCAACATGTTCTATCACTTCACTCCCTATCACTAAGCTAGGGGTAGACGTAGTCCAGTCCTGTAGCAGCATATTACATTTCACAGGGGCGAATCGCATGCCAATCATACGAAGATTGCTGTTCTCAAGGTGTTCAGAAGACTGCATTTTGTCAGCGTCCTCCCCTAACAGGACTATGTCGTCTGCGTATTCTAAGTGTATAAGGCTATTCCCTGGTAACAAGTCGATTCCTAAGTCGTTAAGTTCAATTAAGGATACTTCCATTAGCATATCTATGATGAAGTTAAACAGAAATGGGGAAAGTGGACATCCTTGACGGACACCCCTGGTTGTTATCAATTCAGATGACAATTCCCCACAAGCCCTTACACGGCTACGTGAGTTTGAGTAGAGTGCCTTGATTAGTGCAATGTACTTTCTTGGCACTCCCTTCACAGTCAAAGGACGGGGCGAACTGCTGAGCAGTACACACGTCCCACCGACACACTGTCTTCTTCAATGGTAAAGTGAAATTATAGCGATCCATGGAAGGTGAACCCATGACTGCCCTTATAAGGCGATCAATCAGAAAAAACAGTGAATGTTTTTTGTCAACTTTAAAAATGAGGACGTTTATTTATCAGAGAAATATAGAGAATATCAAAAGACACTAAAGAGGATATTTTTCCCTGGTGTAACTTAAAACTACCTCCTAATTATAATGAGGAGTGTCAGTTTTTATGAAAACAAAACACGTAGTTCAGCAGGGAGTCTCTTTTCGCAATTATATATACTTATTTTTGTATGTGTTTGTGTGTGTGTACATTAGGTTTGTCCGATAAGAATAAAAGTAAGTTAGGGTTATTGTTGTCAAGACATTTGAAAAATGTGATGAGTAATCAAACTGGAATGGAATGCCGAATCCCGAATTCCCTTTCTTGATGTGCAACTAACAAGACGAACTGACGGAAGCTTAAGAAGTTCAATGCGTAGGAAACCCACTCGGAATGGTCAACTAACAAATTTCTACAACTGGGGGTACCTATTGAGAAGAAAGGAAATCTGATTAAATCCCTTGCCACTCGGATCTGACGCATACGTAGTCTTGACGTCCTGGAAGCAGAACTGGATCTTCTGAAAGAAACCTTCATTCAAAATGGATATCCGCCAAGATTCGTCGTGGAGAATATCAAACCAAAGGTCTGGAGGAACGAAACATCACTTGTTTCAAAAAATCCGAATTTCAAGGGGGGGGGATTAGCTTGCTATATCCTCAAGAGATGACTTTCAGCATCTTCGAAAAGAACATTCTTCATAGAAACGCTAAGGATAGTGTTCTCCGGTAGTTCATTGATCTACAGAAGCCTTAAGGATAAGATCTCGCATCTGGCCACTTCCGCGTGTGTGTATATCTGTCTGTCTGTTTTCGACATAGAACTTTGCACATATGTGCAGCAGTTCAAGTTGCCACACTCCCTCCATGTTGCACACAAAGCAAGAGAAGAAAGTAGGAGAAATGCATAATAGAGACCGTAAACAGAGGTGTGAGACAAAGGAGTAGTAATGAGGAAGAAGAAAACAGTTTCATTGGAAATCATGAGTCACAAGGAGTGGATGCATCTGCGCCAACCACTGAGGACGATTTTGAGCCATGTCACCAATTGTTTCCAACCATTGGTTTTTACCGTCCCGAGGACCCCAACCAGTCAGGAAGTCTACATCTCCCTCCCTACGTGGCTTAGACTAACTGTTGTGGATTTGATTGACTGGTGCCATGTTTTCGTTTGACCGCCGCTAGCTCTTTTCCAGCCTGACCCTATATCAGCTAACATTGCCCAATGTCGAGGAAGGCGATGACTAGGCATCCGTAACACATGTCCCAACCATCTCAGTCGATGTAATTTCCCAGTTTCCTCGACTGATTGCCCCGCCTTACCTAGCACTCGACGCCTAACCTCAATATTGCTCACCTTGTTATACCACTTCACGCGGGAGATGGAACGCAGACACCTATGATCAAAAACAGCTAGCCACCCTGATGTCTTCCACTCTCAATGGCCAGGTCTCACAGCCATAAAGGAGGACATAGCGGACTGATGAGCAGTACACACGCCCTTTGGTCGATAGTCAGTCGGATATCACGTCTACGCCAAAGACGGCATTAACTGGCATATGCGAACCTAGCCCTCTGTATTCGTGCTGATATTTCGTCTGAGATCAACCTGTTGGGGCTGATGGTACTTCCAAAGTAATTGAAGCGGTCAACGTGTTCTACCACTTCACTTCCTATTTCTAATCTAGGGGTAGGTGAAGTTCAATTCTGCAGCATCATCTTACATTTTATAGAGGCGAATCGCATGCCAAACATTCTTAGATTGCAGCTCAAGGTGTTCAGTAGACTCTGCATTTTGTCAGAGTCCTCGCCTAGAAGGACTATATCGTCCGCATATTCTAAGTCAACGAGATTCTTCCCTGGTAGCAAGTCAATCCCTGAGTTGCTGAAGTGTGTTAGGGTTAAGTCCATTAGTACGTCTATGATGAAGTTGAATAGAAATGGGGATAATGGGCATCCTTGACGGACGCCACTAGTCGTCACCACTTCAGATGACAACTCGCCATAAGCCCTCACCTGGCTGCATGAGTACGAGTAGAGTGCCTTAATCAGTGCAATGTATTTTCTTGGCATTCCCTTTACAGCCAAGCATCGCCAGAGAACCTCCCGGTCGACAGAATCGAATTCCGCCTTTAGGTCAAGAAATGTAATGATTGTCGGATGCCGGTAGGAATTCTTATGTTCTAGAATCTGTCGGAGGGTGAAGATATGATCAATACACCCTCTACCTGGCCTAAAACCTGCCTGGTTTTCTCGTGTTTGTGTCTCCCGAGCACCACTTAGTCTACGCAGTATTATTGGGCCTAGAATTTTAGATACTATATTAGTCAAGCTAATCCCTCTGTGATTATCACAAGAAGACTTGTCTCCCTTCTTGTATATCGGGATGATCAGTGACTTACACCAACCCGATGGAACTTCCTCTGATTCCCAGACGCTACCTAGAACCTCCGTTAACGCAGACAGTAAACTGTGTCCACCGTACTTAAATACCTCTGGAGTCAATAAATCAGGTCCCGCTGCTTTGCCTTGCTTCAGATTGGTGACAGCTTTAGTAACCTCAGTTAAGGACGGAGGACCTGTGTGTATATCAGTTCACCTGTTGCTGTGGAGCCAGGTACATTGTTCGTTCGACGCGTTAAAGGGTTAAAGAACACTATACCGCATGGCTACAAAAAGGTAATAGTGGTTGTATAAGGAGTGCGATAATCGAACATCTCATCAACATTGGTCATTCCATCTCAACAAATGCCTCCTTCAAAATGATCTACAAAGTGAAGGACAACCTGTCAAATGCAGTACGCTTTCATCTCCTTTGTATTGTTGAAGCCTTAACCATTCAGTTGGAGAAACCAGAGTTATGTACACAAAAGAAAATCATCCAACCACTTCTACTATCACGGTGGTAACAACCAGTGTTGACTTCTACTCACTTGATGTTTGTGCGCTTGTCTCTTTCCTTTTCTAAGTCCTTATAACATTTGTAAATTTTAGAACTCTTACATAATTCCATATTTTCCTTTGTTTCTATGCGCATCCTAATCACAACTCACTCATTAAACTACTCATCTTATTACGTAACTGTATTACACTTATTCAACTTCTTTTATGTGTTAATACATGCGTTTTTGACAACACATCACCACTACCACCCTTTTACCAATCTTCACCCCCCCCCTAATTTCAGTCTGATTACTCATCACATTTTTAAAA